GAACTGATGAGACAGCAGTGAGTTAAGTTTGAATATTATGTGATAGGCAATCAATTATCAGTTTGGATGACTGATAATGGATTTATGCATTACAATGGACTCATCTATTTCAATGATCATGAAGATGGTACAGGACCAGGATGCATTTCATTTTTTGAGTTAGAGATAACTTACTGGGCTTGGGGAATTAAAACCATAGTCTCAGGAACAATTAGATCAGTTGGCATAACGTAGCCAATAAAGACAACATTCATGTCAGTAAGCAGTGACTGAGATGACAAAAATTTGTGAGAGACCTTTGAAGACACAAATATGATCTCTCCTGACCTCCCTGCTTTAGGTACAGAGGACCAGTCAGAGGCTTCCATGGGCTGGGATTCCCTCACGCCAAGGGGGAAAAAAGATTCCAGGAAACAATGATTTCAAAGGACTAACAGACAGTGGAAACTTCTGTCTCCACTACTTGGAGAATATGAACAGGATCACAACAGACAGTTCTGGACAAAGAGAAAGAAAAAAAAAAGTTGTACAAAATTTAAAAACATGGATACCAGACTTACTGGTCTGAAAGAACTAGTGGAAATCCCAACACTGCTTTTGACATACTTTAAGCCTGTAAGTGAATCTACTACAGGGATTAACTTTCAGGCAAAAACAAACCAAACCAAAACAAAAACAACAACCCCCCCCCCCAAGGAAACAAAGAAACAAAAATTAGCAGAGTGTTTCTTAAAAGCAAAGGTCATGAGACTTCCTATTACATATTTTGGATAGGCTATCAAGAGTAATCATTCCCTCGAGAAGAATGTCTTGTTTTGAAGAGTTGAGGTTCAGTGGAAGAGAGGAAGATCCTCACTGAGATGGACAGACACAAGGACTGTAGCAATGGAATTATTCACAGTAGACATACTGTGAGGAAGGCATAGTACGGGGAAAGGTCTTGTTTTTAATATTTAGGGTTGATATGGGTCAGAGGTGAGTACACCTAACAACTACAACAAAATGATTTAGGTCACCAGGGAGGAAGGAATATACTTGAGTTCAATCGACCATTCTGGGCCATAGGGTATTATTAGTCCAAAACCAAAGCTCAGAGGGCAGGACAAGGAAAGATAGAAGGGCAAATGAAAATACGGAACCCAGGAAAGAGTGTTGTTATAATGAGGAGGTTGTAACTAGTGTCATGGAACAAAATGTTTATAAATTGTTGAATGAAATTTGATTGCTTTGTAATCCTTCACCCCAAAGCAGAGAATACCAGGAGAATGTATAAGTGTGTTTTATTGACTACAAAAAACATTTGATGACAAAGATCATAACAAATTAAAATTAGAGATTACATTGAGAGGAATGGTGATCTCAGCACTTAATTGTGCTCACACAGAATTTATTCCTAGACCAAGAAGCTATTGTGTAAACAGCAAGAGAACACTGCATGGTTTAAGGTCAGGGATGGTGTGCATCAGGGTTGAATCTTTTCTCAAGGCCTATTCAATATGTATGCTCGGCAAATGATTCATGAAACTGAACACTGTGAAGAGGAGTGTGGTGTCAGGATTGGAGACTCACAATAACCTGCACTATGTTGATGACACAATTTTGCTTCCTGAAAGTGAAGAAAATATGAAACACATGCTGCAGACGATCAAGGACTACAGCTTTTGGTATGAATTACATCTAAACATCAAAAGAGACAAAGATTCTCACCACAGGGCCAAAATCCAATATTATGATAGATGGAGAAAAGATCGAAGCTGTCAGTGATTTAATCTTGCTTGGATCAACAATCTACACCCGTGGTACCAGCACTGGGGAAATCAGGATGTGTACTGCATTGGACAAGTCGGCTGTCAGGAACCACACCAAAATACTGAAAAGCAGTTATGCCAGTTTGAAGGCTAAGGTGCATCTGATTCAGGTCATCATCTTCTCAGTTACCTGTTCCTGTTATGCATCAGAAAGCTGGACAATGAATAAGGATGACAGAAGAAGAATTGATGTCTTTGAGTTGTGGTGCTGAAGAAGATTATTGAATATCCCATGGACGGCCAAAAAAAAAAAAATCAACAAAAAAAAAAAAAGAAAGTCCCACAAACAAAAAAGAACAACAAAGCCCAAAAACCAAACAGAAATGTCCTGCAAAGGGTATGGCCTGAGTGCTTCTTGGAGGCAAGGATGGTGAAGATTTGTCTTTCATACTTTGGACATGTAGCTAGGTAAGGCTATTCCTTGGAAAAGGACGTCATACTTGGACAGATCGAAGGTTAGCAAAGGAGAGGAAGACTCCCAATGACATGGACTGACATTGTCTCTTCAGCAATGAGCTCTAGTGTCCCCAAGATGATGAAGATGGCATAGAATAAATTTCTTGAAGGCTATTCATCAGGTCACCATAAGTTGTACTTGACTGCAACTAACAACAACAACAACAACAACCATAAAAGAGTATATAAGAAAGAAAGACACAGAGAGAAATGACTACAGTTTGTCTTGCTGCCCAACAATATGGCTATCAGAGCTACAAAACTGTCGAGATGGAATGAGAAGTTACAGTTGGGTATGAAGTATAAAAGTGTAAATAAACAATTTTTAGTGACTTCTCAGTTACTCCAAGAAGCATTTTATTGTACAAGTATTAGGTAGTAAGTCTTAGTGTAGGTTAAAATCTATGAAGACCTACTGAATAATACTATTATTACATCATAGGAACTTCCTCTTTGAAATACAGTTTTTAGTTTCCTTTTTAGTGAAGGAGGAAATTGCTCATCTTTCTCCTTTGAAGCAGATGGTGGATTCCAACTGCAAGCCTTTTATATTGCAGCACAGCTTCTTGCCACTAGGCTACTAGAGCTCTCTCCTATGGTGGTAGCTAACTGAAAGATTAAAGGTTCAAATCTATCAAGGGCTGCCATGTGGGGAGTGGATATTGAGCAGAGGTTGAAGGGAGACTTTGCAATCTATTCTCAAAAAGGAAAGCTTCATCAACTCATTTCCTCCAGGTTGGAATCAATTCATAGCTGACCTTCCAGTGGGTTTTCTAGAATCTGTAAATTGGTCTGGAGGATATTGTCCATCTTTTGCCTTCAGACGGCTGGTGGATTCCAATCACCACAAAGGTATATCGTTTGAGTAGTAACACAACTTCCCATGGACTACACCATAATTAAAAAGCCTATACTGACACTATGAGGTGACTGTGAATTAGAAATTGACCTGGCAGCAAGTATTTTTCTTTCTTTCTTCTCCTGTGTTAGTTGTGTGTTTTTGTTTTTAAATAAACAACGAACAAACACCTAAAATGGTCTATTGATAATCAACTTTCTAAGCAATAAGAGATTTACATATTTTTGGAATGAAAAAATTTAACTCAGATAAACACTGTATTCTCAGATTTTTAAAGTTAGTTTTAATATATTAATATAATTTAACTAGGGTGTTAAACTTAATATCCTTAAGTTTACATGTGAATCCAACTGATTTTTTGGGGGGAAAGACTTTTGGACTGTAAGTGAAGAACAATGGATTCTCATATGGGATTTTTAACATATCTCCCTCTTCAGGCTTCAGTATTCTCATAAAAATGAATTCTGCACTTCAATAAAACAATTATTACTGCTAAAATGATAAGTTTCCAATAATTTTATGATTTTTAAAGTTCTCCTGGCAAAGACATAGTATGCTAATAAAGAAACTTTACAGGATATCAATAATGTGAAATTTGCAATGCATTAATAACATGAACTTTGCCATTTCTCAAAGTCGAATGAGTAAATAAATATGAAGGTACAAGGGAAAAATTATAGAGAAATGGTTGGAGATACATAAGGCACAAATCAAAGAGGGTCATAAAATGTACAAAATGATGTAACACTGTAGTTTAGAGTTAAGATCCATGATTATGAAATAAAGTCAGATGCTATGTCAATTATAATTTACCTAGCCTGCTTTTAGAGTGGGATTAAAAATTCTATGCGAATTCACTTATCTGAGTCAGTATCAATTTTTAGGCAGCGGGATTTCCCCGCCCCCCCAATGATTTTGTAACAATCTTAACTCATTTCCTGATCGTTCCTCTTGATTTAACCCAAGAAGTTTAAGATCTTTTTCCAGCTAGAAATTGCTTTTGAAACTAGATTTTCAATTTCATATAGAGCCAACTAACTGTTCCATTGTATGGTGAAGAGTTGTGTGGTAACTAGGGTATTACAATTATGTATCATGTAAATGATAACTTGTTTCTTTTTGCCTTATTGTTATAAGTATAGAACATATACCATTTATGTTAAATCTCCAGGAAATAAACCATTTCTCCAGAGCCTAGCCGTGACTGACACATGTCTGGTCGAATGAAGTAGACGGATGGCAATAATTATGTAATGCATTAGTTAAGAAGTCAAGTTCTTTTTAGCACAAAGACCTCTGACAACTCTTTGCTTAAATTACACTTGACTTTTCCCTTCAGGCAAGTTTGTTGCATGTGAAATTCCTAGAAAGGCAAGGAACAGGACAGGTTACTTAGGAAAAGTGCCTCATCAGGACCTAGGGCAGTTTTGGGACATTCCGAGGCCTGGAGGTAGTATTTTTGTCTTGGAGAAGTGGCAAGTGGATGATCTCTCAAGTCCTGAGCACCTGGGGGTACCCAGCTTCCTGGCCTAGCTTCGCTCTGAGCCTAGGCACCGGCGCTGAGCAACCTGTCACAGGGGCGGCTCTGGGGTTGTCCCGCTGGGCGAGCCCGCGCTGCACCCGGGTAGAGCATGGCTTTGGCGCGGCGGGGCGAGGACGGGGCGTGGCTATGCGTTGCCCCCGCCCCTCCTCACAGTCCCACGGGTCATAATGTAGGGTTAGGGCGGCCGGCGGGCGGGGCTGGGCGGGGGAGGAGCCGCCGGGCGGGGGAGGGGAGGGGAGGAGGAGTTGCGGAGGGAGGAGGACAGCGCCATTCCGGCCGGCCGCTCCCTCCGTCCCTCGCTCTCTTCCCCGCAGTGGCCACTGAGCAGCCAGCGAAGCAGCGCGCGAGCGCGTGACGCGACCCGGTGTGCTCGTGCCCTCCCGCGCCCGGGTGTCTGTCGCTCCCTCAATGCCCGGGCCGCTGTGAACTCGGCGCGTTGAGGCGGGCCTGGAGCAGAGGTGGGGCCGCCGTCGTGGCCCTTGCAGCCCGCCGACTCGTCGCTTGCCCGCGGTGCCCGCGCACGCCGACCGCCATAGGCTTCGCGCCTGGCTGGCGGGGACGCTGTCCTCCCCGGCCGTCCGCGCTGCTCCCTGGAGCTCGGCGGAACGCTGCAGCCCGGAGCGGCGGAGGCGCCAGGAACCGGACGCCGCCGCCTGGGACGCCGCCGCGGGGGCCATGACCGTGGAGCAGAATGTGCTGCAGCAGCAGAGCGCGGCGCAGAAGGTGAGGCGAGCCCGCCAACTCCTTGCGACGTGCGGGCCTCCCCCTCCGGGCCCGGCGCCCTCGGCCGCCCGGGCAGCTTCCCCCGCCACCCCTCCCTCCTGCGCTTCCCCTTTAGGGGCTTTGCGCCCCATGCAGGGTCGCATGTCGGAAGTGGGTGTAGTTAGCACATTTCAGTCCGTGTCCCTCGACCGCTTATTTTCCTGTAACTGACAGTGCGCTGTATTGAGTGCTACCTTCACATTCCTACACTCTTCTTTATGGCTTCTTAATTAAACTTTTTCCTTTCTTTTTAAGAATGGCCAGTTGTCGTTTCCTTGAACTGTATTTCGAAGGTAGGGGGGTTCCAGGCCTTCTAATTTGCAAAGGGGTTCCCACCTGAATTCAGTTACCTGCCCTTGGGGGGTATGTGCCTTGTCAGGTGGAGTCTGTAGAACTAGGAGGTTTAGTTGGTTCCTTTTCCTTTTTCTTTCTTTTTTATTTCACGTATAGACATGATCTTTTAAGTTAAGAAACATTTTGGATATACCTATTTCAGGGATCTTTTGTCCCCTAAGTTTGACCTTGTTCTACTCTTCACCTTGTATTCCCACATCAGTCACACATTCACATGGTCACTCAAAGGAAAAAAAAAAATTCCTTATAGTAGAAGCTTCAAATCTGTCATAGTGTATAGAGCGAGAGACACCCTGGTTAGTGTCGATTTGGCTTTCAGAATCTTAAATGCACCATCATCATGCCTTGCACCATATTCTGAAGAGTAGTTGACCATGGCTTAATTATTCTTTCCCTTTTTTGTCGAAAGCATTTTGGGCAGAAGGGAAACATTGCTATAGTCGTGCTGGAATTTTAGGGCCTGAGGTCTGAGGTTTAGTGTGAACCTTCACCAAAGCTATATTTGTTTGGGTAAGAAATGAGTGCCCCACCCTGATGTTATGTTAGTGGAGTAGTTATCTCCTACCTGTGTGTGTTTGACTTTAGAATAATCCCTACTTTCCTTACATGGCCCATATATAAATTCACAGCTTGTTAAGTTTTTTCTCTGAGCTTATTTTTAGAGTTTTATGATACTACTTGAAGTAATTGAAGATACTAAGACATTTTGAAAAGCAAGGATAGTGTATTGTTATTTTGGGTACTTTGGTTAAGTTGTTTTTAGAACTTGTGTATGTTAACCTTTAGTGGTAAATTTAGAAGATTATTGCAGACTGTAATTTACTTTATTTACCGTTAAACCATCAAAATTTAATAATAGAAACTTAGGAGTTTATCTCCGAAGTTTTTCCGCTTTTATTTTGAGTACCTTAGACTTTAGTTTTTCATCCAAATAGCTGATAAATGTTAAGAAAACATGAGAATGATGAGGTCCTATAAAGTAATCTTTAATAGATTGAGTGCCATTTTGTTTATAGTTATTTTTGGTGTTGAATATTAAATGTATTTTATTTAACTAGTTAATATTTTTCAGATTTTAAGTTTGAAAAAAATGACAAGAAGCTTTTAAGTTTATTCTTTTTCACCTTGACTTTGCCTCAAGTTCTCTAACATAAAATCAGAAAGTGCAGATTTTTGTGAGTCAGTGTAGATTCAAGATTCAAATTCCTGAAAATGAGCTTGGCAGTCAAATACATTTTACACTAACACTCAAATTCAGTTTACACACAAGGAGAAGTTGTTAATCCCAGGTATTACCATTGTTTTTATATTTATGTTAGATCATTTCATTGGTCAGGGAGTCATTTTTTTTAAAGTAATGTAATGCAATTTTGTTTTTTGTCATTTGTTTTTATATTACCATATTATTTCATTATCCTATAGTAAAGCTGTTTATACCAGTATAAGTATTTTAAACCATCTCCCTCAAATAACTTCACAGATTTAAACCCTACCAAGCTAGTAACTGGGAAGTAGATGTTATACTTTAGAAGAAACAAAAGTGAAACTCTTAATGTTTCGGGTTTTTTTAAAAAATCTCTATGAAGTGTCAATAAAAGGAGAATTTGTGCATAGGCAAGATATAAACCTGTTTTCTAGTCTCTTTAACAAGATATTGTGTTATATTATTATAAATTAAATCATTGGCATGATTTTACACACATGTATGTGTGTGTATGTA